CAAAATGGCGGCATCCTCCAGACCGGCAAAAGTCCGGAGCTCAGCCCACCTTTCTCTTCACCTTCTCTGTTTGTTCCCCAGCCACCGTGCACAATCCGTGCAGTCCCTGGCTAGCAGGGTGATTTTTAGTTTAATTTTTAGTTCCTACCACCAATTGGGAATGTCCACATCGTTTGTGCTGTCAGGGGCGCTCAGATCCCTGCCAGACTGCAGCTCCGTATGTCTCCCTTTTTGGTATTTTCACGCAAATTCTTCTGCTAGTTGGGGTTTAGGCTACTTCTGTATCGTTCCCTTCAAGGATCAGCGGTCCAAGATTATCTTCTGTGTCTGTGTTAATTGGTTTCCCTTTTCTTTGTTGAAGAGGGTCTGTGCAGTCCTTCTGCCTACTCCACCATCTTGCAGGAACTCCCTGCCACCAGTATTTTAAATACTTTCCTGTATTGTACAGTTGTATTGTAGTTGCTTATGTAGTTGCTGTGATGGTGGGAGATATGCCACCAGTATTTCAAATACCAGAAGAGTCACACATGGAAGACAGGACATCCTGACTAAGACAGACTAGGAAGAAAGATATAGCAGTCCACTTCTGAGAAGACTGACCACTGAAAACCTTATGAATAGCCTGGAAACATTGTCTGATATAGTGCCAGAAGATGAGCTCTTCAGGTTGAAGGGCACTTGAGTGTCCTTCAATATGATTAGGGAAGAGTAGCTCCTCAAATTAGAGTTGACCTTAATGAAGTGAATGGAATATGTGTTTGGGGATCTTCATTTGCTGATGTGGCATGACTCAAAATGGAAAGCAGCTGTAGAAGTCCATTAATAATTGGAATGTGGAATATACAAAGTGAATCTAAGAAAATTGGAAGTTGTCAAAATGAAATGTAATGCATAAAGATTGATATTCTAGGCATTAGTGAATTGAAATGGACTGGTACTGGCTGTTTTGATCACACAATTATTTGGTCTACTATGCTAAACACAATAACGATGTAACCACTGTCGTGGAGTTGGATCTGACTCATAGTGACCCCTCCTTTGATTTCTGAGGTGGTTATCACTATGGAAGTAGATTGCCTAACCTTCCTTCTGATGCTAGGAATGACAAATTGAAGAGGAGCAATGTCTCATTCATAGTCAAAAAGAATATTCAAGATCTATCTTAAAGTACAATGCTGTCAGTGATAGGATAATATTTATATGCTTACAAAGGAAGACCAGTTAATATTACTATTATTCAAGTTTACATACAAAACATTAAAGTCAAAGATGAAGAAATTGAAGATGTTTGCCAATTTCTACAGTTTGAAATTGACCAAACATGCAATCAAGATGCATTGGTAATTATGGGTCATTGGAATGGGAAAGTTATAAACAAAGAAGCAGCATTGGTAGTTAGTAAATAAGACCTTTGTGATAGAAATGATTCCAGAGATTGAATGATAGAATTTTGTAAGACTAATGACTTATGTATTGCAAAAACATAAATGATGACTATATAGGTGGACCTAACCAAATGGAATACACAGGAATCCAATTGACTGCATCTGTGGAAAAAGACTATGGAGATGCTTAATATCATCAGGCAGAACAAGGCCTGGGGCCAACTGTGGAACAGATCATCAATTGCTCCTGTGCATGTTTCAGTTGAAGCTGAAGGAAATTAAAATTAAAATAAGTCCACAAGACCCAAAATACAACTTGCATATATCCCACCAGAATTAAGAGACCATCTGAAGAATAGATTTGGTGCATTGAACATGAATGACAGAAGACCAGTCAAGTTGTGGGATGACATCAAGGACACCATATATGAAGAAAGCAAAAGACATTGAAAAGACAAGAAAAGAAGAAAAGACCTAAATGGATGTCAGAAGAGACCCTGAAACTTGCTCTTGAATGGAGAATAGCTAAAGAGAATGGAAGAATTGATGAAATGAAAGAGCTGAGCAGAAGGGCAGCTTGAGAAGACAGAGTAAAGTAGTATAATGAAATGTGCAAAGACTTGGAATTAGAAAATCAAAAGAGAAGACCACACTTGGCACTTCTCAAGTTGAAAGAATTGAAGAAAAAATTTAAGCCTTTAGTTGCATAATTGAAGGTTTCCATGCATAAAATATTGAGCAGTGCAGGAAGCTTCAAAGGAAGATGGAAGGAATACACAGAGTCACTGTATCAAAAATGTTCAACCATTTCAGGAGATAGCATATGACCAAGAGCTGATGATAGTAAAGGAAAATTTTCAAGTTGCACTGAAGACATTGGTGAAAAACAAGGCTTCTGCAGTTGACGTAATACCTATTGAGATGTTTTAACAAATGCTTGTGATGCTGGTTGTACTCACTAATTTGTGCAAACTACTTGGCCAAACAATTGGAAGAGATCCATATTCATGCCCATTCTAAAGAAAAGTGATCCAAGATAATGTGGAAATTATTTAAAAATATCACTAACATCACAAGTAAAATTTTGCTAAAAGTAATTTTAAAAGAGTTGTAGCAGTACATCAACAGGGAACTGCCAGAAATTTAAGTTGGGTTAAGAAGAGAATGTTGAATGAGGGATATCATTGCTGATGTCAGATAGAACTTGGCTGAAAGCAGAGAATACCAGATAAATGTTTACCTGTTTTATTGACTATGAAAGGTTTTCCAGTGGGTGGATCATAATAAGTTATGGATAACATTGTGAAGAATGGGAATTCCAGAACATATAATTGTGCTCATGAGGAACCTGCACATAAATAGATCAAGAGGCAGTTGTACATATGGAACAAGGGGAAGCTACGTGTTTCAAAATCAGGAGATATTATGTCAGGATTGTATCCTTCTACTATACTTACTCATTCTTTATGCTGGGCAAATAATCTGAGAAGCGGACTATGTGAAGAACAACACGACATCAGGATTAAGAGAAGAATCTAACAACCTGAGATATATAGATAACACAATCTGCTTGCTTAAAGTGAAGAACACTTGAAGCACTTACTGATGAAGAACAAAGACTACAGCCTTCAGTATGAATTACACCATGATATAAAGTAAATAAAAATCATCACAGCTAGACCAGTAAGCACCATCATGGTAAATGAAGAAAAGATTAAAGTTTGTCAAGGCTTTCAGTTTACTTGGATTTCTCTCTCTAGGGTTCTCTCCATGTCTCTCTCTTTTTCTCTCTCTCTGTCTGCTTTTTTAGTCTGAGATTTGAATTAATCACAATATTTGATTAATGACAGATTCATACCATTGGCCCATGAATAACTTCCTTTATTTGTTTCTTTATTCAGTGTTAATACTTTATGCTAAACATTTGTGAACCCCTCATGTACGTCTTCAAGGACACCTACTACCCAAAATCTAAGCTGTTTTAAAAATGCAAATGGCATATGCTTTATTTGACATCACATTTCTAATATCTATGTAATGCCCAGTACATGTCTGTTCTTCAATCAATATAACTATGCCATTGAATGGTCTTCACACGGACCCTGTTGCCTGGATGAATATTTACTGGTAGAGGAGAATGTATTGTGAGAACTTGCTAAAATTTGGGCATTAGTTGAAAAGGCAGGAATTAAAATAAACATGTTGTGGAATGACAATGAGTGGAGAAGAAAGCAGTCATATTCAGTAGGGAGTGCTAGACAGCACTGAAGCACTGAACAGATATTTTATTAAATGTGAGTTTAATGAAAAACAAAAAACAACCATTAAGACCTTCATTGTTTTGTAATGTAGTGAAAGCACAAGGCTTGGAACACAGCTCACTCAAGGCATGTGTAGCTTTTAGTCCCCATGATAACACTGGGAGGTTTGAGGAAAAGTTTAAATATTATCACTTTTCAGATGAGGATATGAAAATCAGATTAGCTAAGTGACTTCTGTAGGTCACAAAGTTAGTAAATCGCATCTCTAGATTTGCAACTGGATCAATACTCTAGAGGTATGAGCCTTAAACCATGATAATTTAAAAAAAAAAATTGATGCTTTAGGTCTTCAGCGAGTTTGAGAAAAGATCCCTTCTAAGATACATTGATTGTTTAAACCGTTTCCCAATCAAGGAGAAAGATTGCTGTTCTAGGAAATCATGAGTATAAGGTGCATACCTTGTAACTTTTGCCTTGTATTTCGTGGCCATGGAATATCACTGCTATGTCTGTAATGTATGTACTTATCAATCAGAACTGATTCCACTAGAATTAATCCTTTCCCAAAAGCTCTTTTCCTTTGTCATGCCTATTTTAATTCCCTCATGGAAATTCTTTGCCATGGTGGATGTCCATTTCTCTCTGTGGAGTTGGTAGGTCATCTGTGTTGTACTATCAGTATATTTGATACCATCTTTATGCTTTTACAGAATTATAGTGCAGGATACAGTGGATTGGCGGCCCCATGACAAAATCATTCTTAGCTCCTCCTCTTATGAGCCTCATGAAGCAGAGGTCCTCACTGTGAAAGAAGTCAGAGACCACCACATTAGGATCCAAGGACATCTCAAACACCGGCATATTGGTAAAGCTTTGGTTTGTTGGTTACAGGAAGTGAGTGAGTGAGGAAGAATGAGTTCAGCAATCTGCTGAGGAACTTTGGATCTGATTGCCATTCACAGAGGATGGATGATACCTTATTGCTGCCCTAGACTTATCCAGGAAGGCTTTATCTCTATTACTTCATTAATTTTATTGCTTAATTTTTAAAGAATTCTTACAGTGAGGGGACTTTTTGCTTTTTATTTATAATGGTAAGTGTCAAAGCTGAAGAGTGGGAGTCTTGTTCAAGATCATTGAATAGTTGCATGGCTAAGTCAGAATAAAACTCCTAAGTGCTAAATTTCCAGTTCATTTCCTGCCCAGTTGAATCAAGCAATCATTTAGAATGTGGTAGTTATTATAAATAATGACTTGTTTTCCATACTTAGACATGTGTTCTATGTCCTTCTGACATACTTAGACATGTGTTCTATGTCCTCCTGACATAAGTATATTTTATGTATTGACAATTACTATTGCTTTGACTACCCTCCCTCACAAAAAAAGGCAAATCCATTTTTCTTAAAAAAAAAAAAAAAAAAACCTAAGTATTTTTATATACTATACACAGTTGAGCTCTGGTGGCATAGTGCCTAGGGCATTTGACTACTAACCAGAAGGCTGGAGGTTCAAACCCACCAGCCACTCCTCAGGAGGAACATTGGGCAATCTACTTCTGTAGCAATACTGCCTCGGAAACCCAAGGAGAGGTCACTATGAGTTGCAAATGACTCGACAGGAGTGACTTTGGTTTGTTTTTTTTTTTTGCTATACACAGTTTAAAATGTTTTGCATGTAAGTAATAAATAATTGTCAGCTTCCTGGTTCAGTCTAAATCTGACCCAGGAAATATAACTAATAAGTAGCAAGACATGGAAATAAAGGGGTAAGACAACATGTTGTCAACAGAAGATACCCAGACCTCTTCCTGGTTCAATCTAAATCTGACCCAGGAAATATAGCTAATAAGTAGCAAGACATGGAAATAAAGGGGTAAGACAGCATGTTGTCAACAGAAGATACCCAGACCTATTTCTAAGTCATAACTCCAAGGATAATGTTATTTTTTAAAAATGTATATCTTGTTTCTTTATTCAGAGTTTTCCTTTGTTCCCATTCAACCTCTGGCACCAATCAAACAAAACAGTGGACTAATACAGTTCTCACTACTGAGGACACTTGTTTAGAGGTACTGAGTTTAAGGCCCACTGTGAGAGGACCCTGCTGCTACTGCTGCTTGGTGCTGTTTCTCTTTGTCCTTTTCCTCTTATACGTTATTGCATTGGCATTCTCACTACCCTAGTTCACCTGGGACTCCTTTTTCCCATGAAAGACATCTATGGACAATGAAGACCTCTAACACTGAGCTTCATGCTGATGTATTTAATAAGGAGGTTGGTGACCCTGCTAATTGACTGGGTCTGCCCTGACTTAAAGCACTAGTGGCCTGTCCCAGGACCCACTATTATTGCGAAGAAATGAATTTTTGCTCACACACTCTCACTCTGATCCCAAAGAGAGACAAGTGAACAGGCTTTTCATTTCTCATCTGACATTTGTGGAGAATGCCCGAGGAAAAGCAGACCTTAATGTTAGTAGGACTTCCAAAGGAAAGGAATGTTTTCATTTATCAAGTTTTCTGGGTCCCCAGCTGGCGGTTTCTGAAATAGGTTTTTAACATTTTTTTCTTTCCAGGAAGTGTACACATTGTGGAAGATGGCCAATACATTCATTTGGCTGCTGAGGTTGGGCTTTTGACCCGAAATATACAGATCCAGTGTGATACACCATGTAGGGGGAGAATACTTGTGGGCCCCTTTAGGAAGCCAGGCAGAGAAGAATTTTCAGGTAAATGAAATTGTAAGTTGCTAAGCTTTACCAATTGGAGCCTGTTCATCTGGAACAGTCAGAAGTTCCAAATGCGGACTTTTCATTTCTAAAACCAAATGTCTGAATGAGATGGCTCCTTTGGGCTCTGAGATGCTATGAATTTTTAGTCCTGATCTGTGCTTAATTATCAGTGTAATGTTAAAATAATTTGTTAGTGATCAGCACATATGCACATTTTCACCTCCAAGAAAACATCTTCAGCAGATGTGAAATTTCCTCTGCTTTGAAATTATAGATGATTTAATGACCACTTGAATTTTATCTCTTTCCTGAATTTCTATTACTCTTTCCCAGTAGTATGGTATATCTGATGGCAGGCATTAGCCATGCTATAAATTAATAGCATAAATTTAAATAAGAATGATTTCCATATTCTAGACTGCTTTAAGGATCAGTTTAATCTCTCTCATTTCTCTCCAGTTTTATCCCTTTTAGAACGCCACAAAATTATTTGATTAGGACCTTTTTTCTTAAACTTAGGGTCTTTATATATTATTCTAAAGTTGTTTCCTTATCAAATAAGTTTGAAAAAGGCTTCACACTCTAGCTCCATCTTAGAATATCATTCTCTACATGAATATCATAAAGACTCTGAAAAGGCCTGGAATAAAGGATCTATTTCCATATATATTGAGTATGAAACACGTTTCTTTGCATATCTATTTCTCTAGTTTGGTAAAGGGCCATGTTTGGACCTTAAATCAAAAGTTCAGAATTTCTAGTTCTTAGATGAGCTCTCTCACAATAATTTGTACTTCCATAAATTCCCCAAAATGGCAATTTTATCCCCCAGACAACATTTGCATCTAGTAGGGTACTGCTAAACATTCTCCCTTGCACAGGACCTCTCCCACAATAAATGGCCTCTCGATAGTGGCAAGATTGAGAGATCCTGTTCTAAAAGACAGAGATAAAAACTTGGTCCTGGTTCTGTAGCAATGAAGCCATCCTGCAGTTTGTGAGGGAGAAGAGATCAAGACAGGGTCCCAGGTACCTGAAATTGCACACCAAGCTGGAACATGGTTATAGGAACAGAACAGCCAATTTGTAGTGATGTGCACCAAGCCAGAGCTGAACCAACAGCATGATTAACTTGATCCTGAAGTTCTGACATTGCTCATCTGGGGCTGCTTAAATCTTTGCAGGGGAAGGGAAAGGGCCTATACTGAATGCTTCTTATGGACTAGGAACAGTGCTATCTTGCATACATTATTATCTCACTTAATCTTCAGTATTCTTGTAAGAGAGAGATTTTTGTACTCACTTTGGTAGATAGGGAATGGAATCTGTAATAAAATTGTCAGTTTATTTGTGTAACTTCTTCATGAGTATGTGAGCTTCTTGAGGATCAGGTTGGGGTTTTTACCTCTTTTTCTAGCATGGTGCCTGCTGAGTAATAAGGTGCTCAGTAAGTGTGAATGAATAAAATGAATGAAACTAAACCCAATTCCACTGCCAGGGAGTCGATTCCAACTCATAGTAACCCTACAGGACTGAGTAGAAGTGCCCAAAGGGTTCCAAGGCTATAAATCTTTATGGAAGCAGACTGTCTCATCTCTGTCCTGTAGAGTGTCTGGTGGGTAAGGCAGAGATAAGATTCAAATTCAGGATTACTCCAAAGCCTTATGAATTTTTAAAATAAATTTTTAGTTTTGGAATAATACATATACTACATAATGCATATAATAGTAGTAATCCATACTTGGATTCCACCAGTTTTTCCACTGATGTCCTTTTTCTGTTCTAGGATTTAATCTGTGTTCCAAAACTCCAGAGCCTACATGAGGGTAGATGTGCAGGTGTGGATCAAGGGTGCCAGCTATAGGTGTTGAATGGTTACAGGCCAGAAAAGCAGGCCTGGACTTTACAATTCCAAGTTTTATCTTTGAGGACTGTCCTTCTTCTTCTCTGACCAATAACATCCAGCAAGTTGCACTCAGCTTGCTAGAAAGTTATTCAGAGTTATGATTTTCAAAGGAAAAGTATGAACAAAAAGATGTGTGGACAAAATTATTGCTTGATTCTTCATTTTAATGCTTAAAATTAGTTTTCAATCATTGCTTAACATTCACACAACTAAAAAGTTCTTGTATAATTTAAACTTATGGATTATAACCAAGCAAATATGACATAAAAAACACTAATGACTATAATACTAATATATTACCTTGATATAAATTCTAGACCTAGCTATAGTTCTAGAAAATAAGCTATTTATGAGTAGATTTACTTTTGCATTTGGTATCCTTTATACCAAAATTTCACAGATACAATTTTGACAGCCCTTTCAGCTATTTGTTACTT